CTTCCTTCCTTCCTTCCTTCCTTCCTTCCTTCCTTCCTTCCTTCTCTTCCTTCTCTCCTTCCTTCCTTCCTTCCTTCCTTCCTTCCTTCCTTCCTTCCTTCCTTCCTTCCTTCCTTCCTTCCTTCTCTCCTTCTTTCCTTGCCCCCTAAAACAGCACTTCTGTTCCCCTTGACCCCCGCCCCCAGTCCCTCTCATCCCCAGGCGTGCGGCTAAGATGATGGGCACTGTAGTCCGAGGCATCCAGAGGATGAGAGCCAGGCGGCTGTTGACTACACCTGATTCTTTTTCCCAGCCAGTTATGGGCAGGCAGGGCTCCAAGGGGCTGCGAGGGAGGGGAGGGTGAAGCTGGCAAGCTGGCAGCGATGGGGTTGGGGGGGGGGTCAAGATCAAATCTGCAGAGGTGCCTATTAATAGCTGTTTATAGCATCGCATGGGACGGTGGGAAATCACAGCCCCAGTTTGGGATGAGGGACGGGGCAGGGGGAAAGTCACCAGCAAGGAATCCTTCGCACACCCATGTGCAAAGCCGAATCCACCTTGTGCAAAGCCCGACTACCCCACATGCAAAGGAGAAGCCTGGTCCCAAAGCTGGACTCCCCCATCCTTGTCCCCTCCCCAAAAGGGTGCTCGCGAGAGTGGCACAAGGGCTGCCCTCTCCCTTTACACACACACACAGGCACACACATAGGTTGCAAAAGTGCCTCGGCTCTTTAAATTTAGCCGGCCTGACATTTGGCGTGAACTTTTGCTATTTGATTCCAGCTCTGGCTTGTCGTGTCAGCAGGAGCCTTGCAAGAGATACTAGATACGGCTTGCAAACCTTTAGCAAGGGCTGAGTTAGCGCAGCTGGGCGGGAAAAGGTCAGGAAAGGAGCTGCAGGCTGGTGGAGCCCCCTGGCACAGCTTTTGGGGGGGGGGGAGGGGGGGGGAAATGGCTTGCAGCAGACTGCTCTTGGGAAACCCCTCTTTTGGGGGAGCGGGGGCGGGGATGTTATGGCTGCTTTTGCTCCGTTCCTGGGGTCCAGGTTTGTTTTGCACGATGCATTCAGTCCTAAATGCAAGTGGGTGGCATTCACACAACCCACAAACGGAGGTTCTGCAAAGGCAACCATTGAACCACTGAGTTAAATACAACAGTTTCATTTAGCGACTGTTGAAAGGTTCAGCAGCACTGAAAAAAGGGACTTTCGACCATTTTTCACACTTGGTTATTGCAGCATCCCTGTGGTCACAGGATCAAAATTCAGACTTGCTTGGCAATTGACTCATATTTATGACGGTTGCAGTGTCCTGGGGACATGCAAATCTCCTTTTGCAACCTTCTGACAAGCACAATCACAGAGGAAGCCAAATTCGCTTAATAACCGTGTTACGAACTTAACAACTGCAGGGATGCCCATAACAAATGTGGCGGGAATAGTTTTAAACTGGGGCAAATCTCACTTAACACATGTCTCGCTTAGCAACAGAAATTTGGGGCTCAACTGTGGTTGTATCTCAAGGACTGCCTTGTATGCTGCATGAAGAGGAACGTTCATTCCTCGCTATGCCCACTCACATTCCTGCAGCCAGGGGAATAAAAGCCAATGGGACGGCTGGGGAATTCTGGGAGTTCTTGAAATCCACAAGTCTTAAAAGTCGACCAGTTTGGAGATTCCTGGCATAAACTATCCTCACAACGAATGAGAATGTAATAAAATCTTGCAGTAGAGAAATCTGTTTGGATTTTCTATTCTGCTTTAACTGAGGCAGGTAGCCGAGTTCTTCTTTGGCGTTTTGGGGGTCTTTCTCTTCAGATGAGTGGTTTTTTTTCTTCTTCTCCAAAATATTTATAGTCTTTTGCAAAATTTCAGGGGTTTCTCGATAGTTTGAGTCTGTGGATTTGGTGCAGAGCGAGGTGTAGTTTACTTCACCAGGTTGGTGGAAAATGTAACATCCATTGGTAACTGCCTTGTGAAATGAGGCATTTTTAGAGACCTGAAGGCCTGAGGTCAGGCTGGGTCAACGGACCTTTTGCTAAAAATTTTAAGCTGGACGATGCCAAGTTTTTTGCTCTGGACAGCTTCTCGCATCAGGGTTTGCCACCTAGTGTTGATAAACATGCTGGAAATGCAGCCCTTAAAAATGGTCTACTCAGTGTGCAAAGATCAGCTTCAAATAAAAGATAAAAGGGTTTAGGAATCAAAACTCAGTTCTGATTGGCTGAGTTTGCACTTCACATTAATCACATTAATTAATAAATGGGATCATGTATGTTCATGTGTGTTTGAGAAACCCAGCTATTTTCTTAGTATGTCTATGGAGATGGCTGTACCAAAGGGTTTTGATTTTTGGTTTTTGCAAAAGACAACTAAACTTTCTTGGTTTTTAATTTGAAAACGTTTCACTTCTCATCCCAGAAGCTTCTTCAGTTCTGACTGGCTGGCGGGGAATGGAAGGATTTATAGAACATAAATCTCCTAGAATATAAATCTTCCCATTCACCACCTGTCAGTTAGAACTGAAGAAGCTTCTGGGTCGAGAAGTGAAACATTTTCAAATTAAAATCCAAGGAAGTCCGGTTGACTTTTGGGGAAAAAAAAAATCTTTGGGATTTTCATAGTACATGGTGAGAATTTTCCTGCTGTGTTGCAGCCAAAGACGGCTTCTGTATTTGGGCACCCATAATGTAGGAATTGCAGCCATCAACTTACGTCCACAACTGAGCCCAAAATTTATGTTGCTAAGTGAGAAATTTGTTTTAGTGAATTTTGCCTCATTCTATGACTTTTCTCAGCACATTTGTTAAGTGAATCACTGAAGTTCTTCAATTAGAAACATGGCTGTTCAGTGAATCGGGCTTCCCCGTTGACTTGGCCTGTCAGAAGGTTGCAAAAGGAGATCACGTGACCCCGGGGACACTGCAAACCGTCACAAACGTGAATCAGGGATCCGAATGTAAATTGCGTGACCATGGAGATGCCACAATGATCATCAATTTGAAAAACACTTTTTTGAGTGCCGTTGTAACTTTGAATGGTCACTAAGAGAACTGTTGTAAATTGAGGACTACCTGTATCTTCTTATAATTTGCCAAACGCACAAAAGCTCTGTTCACACAATACAGGTAGTCCCTGACTTATATCCATTCATTTAATGCCTGCTCAAAGTTGTAACGACACTGAAACAAGTGACCCACAACTGGTCCTTGCACTTATGACTGATGCAGCATCCCTACGGTTACGGGATCAAAATTTGGGCACCTGGCAACCAAGTATGTGTGTACAACAATGATCCTGAGATCATGTGATCAGATTCCAGGTTCACTGGCTAACCGCCCAGTCAGCTGCCAACAAGTGAAGTCAAGGGGGGGGGAGAAATCAGGTCCACTTAATGACCATATGGTTCACTTAAAGACCATGGTGATTTGCTTAACGCCTTGCAGGAAAAAATGGTGTGCCACTCACTTAATGACTGCCTCGCTTAGCAATGGAAGTTCTGGTTCCAATTGTGGTTGTAAGGGGAGGACGACGTGTAGCCAGGTTTCAGGTTAATGCATTGGATGTGAATTTTTTTCCCCCCCAGATTGCAAATTTCCGCTTCTTTCTGCAAATCTCCAATTTGCAACTTCATCTCCAGTAGAATTCCAAAAGCTTTCTTCTTGGGGGGGGGGGGGGGGCTTTTTACTCCCCCCCCCCTCTGTTCTTTTGTTCCTTTCTTCTAGCGCATTTATTATCTTTCCTTGGAGTTTTACATGGGACGGACACTGCAAAACACCATGGTGAACCTGGGCTTGCAAAACGCCTGCGACGAAGCCATTTACCAGGTACGGGAGCTGCTCTTGAACTGGTTGGGGTGGGGGGGAGCAGGAAATTGGGGAGGGGGCAGCTTTAGGAAAAGTAGTAAGAAGATGGCAAAAAAAAAGTTTGCAAAGTTGCCCCCTCCTGCTGTCTTTTGCAAGAAGGAGACTGTTATGAAAGTCAGTTTGGTCTGTTAGTTAAGGCACCAGGCTAGAAAGCGGGAGATGGGGAGTTCTAGTTCCACCTTATCCGTGAAAGCCACCCATGAGTGGGTGACTTTGGACCAATCACCAAGAGGGGGTGAGTTTTAATCCTGCCTTAAACATGAAAGTTGCCTGGATGGTTTTGGGCTAATCACCAGGGGACGGAGAGTTCTAGCTCCACCTTATCCATGAAAACCAGCTGGGTGACTTTGGGCCACTCTTTCTCCACCAGCACACCTGACAAGGTGGTTAGGCTGGGAAAAAGAGTATTATTTACGTTGACCGCTTTGAGTTATTTGTATAAATGATAAAGGAGGAATTCAAACCAACCAACCAAGAAATATTTTGGGGTCCCAACCTTAAAACGATCCCCTTTCCCTCCCTCTGCAGCTGGGCTTGGATATGGAGGAGCTGCAGGAGATTGAAGAGGACGCCGGCTTGGGCAACGGAGGATTGGGGCGACTGGCAGGTGGGCATCAGAGAGGGGCAGATCGGGACACCACGGCGCCCTCCCTCAGCAGGCCCAAAAGGTCCTGCAAAGACCTTGTCTGGTCTTGCCTTTGGCAGATGAGAAGCCCCGTATACAACTAGACAATTGTATTTATTGTAAAAACAATAAAGGCAGGATACAAATAAACAAAGGCAATTTGGTTTGTCGGAAAAGGTCCTCCCAATCCCCCCTGATTTTAAAATCCTTCCTGCAGGAGGGGTTTTTTTTTCCCTTTTCCCCAGACAAGGGCACCTCTGCTCAAAAATCCTCACCATCATTAGGATGGGGCCTCCGAAAGTCATCTAGTCCACCCTCCGAATTGCATAGAGGTGACCATCTGGAGCAGGGGGAGTCAACCTTTTTATACCTACCGCCCACTTTTGTACCTCTGTTAGTAGTAAAATTTTCTCTAACCGCCCACCGGTTCCACAGGAATGGGGATTTATAAAGTAGGGGACAAAACCCCGACCGCCCACCATGAAAGCTGGAACGCCCACTGGTGGGCGGTAGGGACCAGGTTGACTCCCACTGGTCTAGAGAGTCTTCTAGGCAGAGTGGCTGTTTCCCACTTAGGGATTGATTTCTACAGCGTATTCATTAGGTTGAGCATTGTCGGGCTGTTTTTGTACGCGGGTATATTGTGCAAATTCTGCCTCTCTCTGTGTGTGTGTGTGGCACAAGCCCAGCAAGAGCAAGCGAGAGAGAAGTCTTCAGAATAAAATGCGATCTCATTTGAGTTGAGTGGAGCTCCTGAGTTGATCTCACAGACACTCCGTGGTTCTTGCTTGCCCGTTACTAGGCAAGAGATGAACCCTGTCTGCATTCGAAGATTTCCTGTTGGTCTCCTTTCCAACTTCAATCCAGCTCTGTATTTTAAGGCCGACCATTTCAGAGGGACCCTACAGAAGTAACCACTAGCTCCGTGATGACGAACCTATGGCACGCATGCCACAAGTGACACGCAAAGCCATTTGTGCCTCAAGCGAGCCGCGGGCAAATTTACCCCCCTTAGCATGCGTGTGCCTCACAGCTGTTTTTTTTTCCGTTGGTTTGAGGTCTTTTTCCGCGGCAAGGCTTTTTAGGCCTAATAGGCCTGTTTTGTCACTTCCTGTAATACCGGAAGTTACGAAACAGGCATATTATTCAGCCTGAAAGGCCTTGCAAAAGTCCTCAAAAATCAGCTGTGAGGCGCAGTGCAGGTAAGGGGGTGGTGGGGTGGGATTGTGTGCACATGCGCAGGGGGTGTGGGAGGTGGGTGCATTGCATTCTGGGTGCTGGAACGTGAGTGCGCACACAATTTTTGGCACAGGAGTCCAAAAAGGTTAGCCACCATTGCACTATACTCATCCAGATTTTTGGGGACCCTTCTGCCTCCAATAAAGCTAGCTGGGGAATTCTGGGAGTTGAAGTCCACGAGTCTTAATGTTGTTGAAGTGGGAGACTCCTGCTTTACAAATGCACTTTAGTCTTCTTTCCATTCTGGTCACTGGTCCCCTTGTGGGTTTCACCATCGCCCCCCAGCTTGCTTCCTGGACTCCATGGCGACTCTCGGCTTGGCTGCTTACGGCTACGGGATCCGCTACGAATTCGGCATTTTCAACCAGAAGATCGTGGGAGGCTGGCAGGTGGAGGAAGCCGACGATTGGCTCCGTTACGGGAATCCCTGGGAGAAGGCCCGCCCGGAGTATATGATCCCCGTCCACTTCTACGGACGCGTGCAACACGGAGATGGAGAAACGAAGTGGGTTGACACACAGGTAAGCGGCTTTTGTTCCATGCGCAGGTGAGAGTCTGTGCACATCCTTGTGTTTCCTCCCCAAACGTCACAGCTTCCCAGGGATGCAACCCATCGCTTCTCTTATCCGGGATTCTGGCTGCATTCACACAAGACTTTTTGCTCCTGTTTGGAGTTCCTACAGGACAGGAAGTCCCGTTCATTTAGTCACCATTCAAAGTTATAACGGCGCTGAAAAAAGTGTTTTAGGACTTCACAGTTACAACCAGGGGTGGGATTCAAATTTTTTAGCAACCGGTTCTGTGGGCGTGGCTTAGGTGGTGGGCATGACTTGGTGGTCATGTGACTGGGTGGACATGGCTTGGTGGTCACGTGACTGGCTGGGCGTGGCCAACTCAACATCACTCACATTGAGGCACGCATCTCCTTGCCTGGCCTCTCATGACTGTGGGGATGCTGTAACTATCTATCTATCTATCTATCTATCTATCTATCTATCTATCTATCTATCTTATTCTATAACTATTGTTCTATCATTCTATCTTATTTTATCTATCTATCATCTATCTATCATCATCTATCATCAAATCTATCTATCATCTATCTATCCTATTCTATATCTATAACTATTGTTCTATCATTCTATCTTGTTTTATCTATCTATCATCTATCATCTATCTATCATTATCTATCATCAAATCTATCTATCATCTGTCTGTCTGTCTGTCTGTCTGTCTATCTATTTATCTATCATCTATCTCGCCTATTCTATTTATATCTATAATTCTATTGTTCTATCATTCTATCTTGTTTTATCTATCTATAATCTATCATCTATCATCAAATCTATTTCATCTATCATCAATCAATCTACCATCTATCTATCTTTCTATCTATCTATCATCTATCTATTTAACCTGTTCTAGTCTATTTATATCTATGATTTGATTGTTCTATCATTCTATCTTGTTTTATCTATAATCTGTCATCAATCATCTATCATCAATATATCATTCTATCGTATCTATCTATTGTTCTATTTATCTATATCATATCTCATTCTATTTATCTTTCTATCATTCTATTTATATCTATCATCTATCTCTCATTCTATTTATCTATCTATACGTATCTATTATCTATCTCTCCTGTTCTATCTAACTCTTCAAGGGCAGCCCCAGGTAGAGCATGTTGCAGTTGTCCATTCAAGAGGTTAACCGGGACCTTCCAACATTATGATTTTAGGCTCTGTGCAACTGTCTGCAATACTCATGGAGTCTGGGTCCTCTTGGGGACTGATCCTGGTTATTTTTTCCTCTCCTCATCCCTGCAGGTGGTGCTCGCCTTGCCCTACGACACACCCGTGCCTGGGTATCGCAACAACACAGTCAACACCATGCGGTTGTGGTCTGCCAGGGCTCCCAACGAGTTCAACCTGAAGGACTGTAAGTAGCAGCGACCTGAGATTCAAACAAATCCTTTCTTGCCCTAGTTATTAAGTGAATCCCTGTGTCAGTTAAGTTACCAACATAGTTGTTAAGTGAAATCTGGCTTCCCCATTGACTTCGCTTATAAGGTCGCCAAAGGGGATCGCAGGACCTTAGGATACTGCAACTGTCATAACTATGAGTCAGTGACAAAGTGTGCAAATTTTGATCACGTGACCATGGGGATGCTGAAATGGTTGTAAATGTGAAAAATGATACGTCACTGTTTTCAGTGCCGTTGTAACTTTGACTAGTCACTAAATGAATTGTTGAGGACTGCCTGTATGGGGCTGGTCCTTGTTCCAGGTTTTATCGTACAAAGACCCAAGAGAACTAGTGCATTTTAAGTCAGGGTTTCCCAACCTTGGCAAGTTTAACATGGGTGGACTTCAACTCCCAGAATTCTTTACTGGCTGGGGAATTCTGGGAGTTGAAGTCCATACGTTTTAAACTTGCCAAGGTTGGGAAACCCTGATTTAAATTGACATGATAAACTCAGAAACACACTAAGGAACCAAACTTGCTTCAGATGAGGCACCAACACCAAGGAGGCCCTGTTTCTAGTCCTAATGATCTTCTAATTTTAATTTTGTAGCATCCCGTGGTTAATTAAATTATATTAACTTATTTTTTTCTCTCGGTTTTTTTTTTAAAAATCTTCCCTTCTTCAGTCAATGTGGGTGGCTATATTCAGGCCGTGCTGGACCGGAATTTGGCAGAAAACATTTCCCGTGTTCTGTATCCCAATGATAACGTAAGTACCTTTTTCTGGGTTTTTAACCCCAGGGAACCTTTAAACCACCGTTTCTCAATATCAGCAACTTTAAGACACGCGAACTTCAACTCCCAGAATTCACCAGCCAGTATTTGCTAAATTCTAACTCCCATGGTCCTCAGCCAAAAGGTTGGGAATGATGGAGGAATAACATCCACAACAAAGATTGTAGGAGGATGACAAGGAAAGAGAACATTTCTTTAAGGGCAGTTTGAAGTTATGACAGTCAGGAAAAGTGACTTGCAGCCTGTCCTCAAAGTTTCGACCACCCTTAACAGGTCATGTGATCGTAGGTCAGGCACTCAGCAACCAACTTGCATTCATGACAGTTGCCGTCATGTGATCATAGTTCATCAGGAAGCCAGGTTTGCTTAACGAGCATGTTATTCATTTAACAATCGTCGGATTTACTTAACGGCTGGGGTAAAATGGTCTGTAAAATCAGGTCCGGCCACCTGGTGATTTGCTTAACAACTGAATTATTTAACAACTGAAATTGCGGTTGTAAGTTAAGGACTACCTACTCTCAATTGGGTCACTTCTCTGCAAGCTGAGCATCCTCCTCCGGCCATCATTCTAACAGAATAATAACAGAGCTGGAAGGGACCCTGGAGGTCTTCTAGTCCAGCCCCCTGCTCAAGCAGGAGATCCTATACCACCTAAGACAAATAGCTGCCCAGTCTCTTCTTAAAAACCTCCAGTGATGGAGCAGCACCCACGACTTCTGGTGGCAAGCAGTTCCACTGGTTAATTGTTCTCACCGTCAGGAAATTTCTCCCTAATTCCAGGTTGCTTCTCTCCTTGATGAGTTTCCATCTATTGTCCCCAAGGTGGATTTTTTCAGGAGGCAAGTGGACTTCCTGGTTTTCCTTTTGAAGACCTTTCGCTTCTCATCCCAGTAGAGAAGAGCGGAAGAAGCTTCTTGGATGGGAAGCGAAACGTCTTCAGAGAAAAACCAGGAAGTCCACTTGCCTCTTGGAAGAACAAAAACAAAAACAAGCAAAGCACCTTTGGGACAACGGGGACCTGGAGAACGGAGCGTCTCTCTGGGGGACCTTTTGCCACCCGTGGCTCCCGGTCCTGCCTTCGGGTGCCCTTGGAGGGTGGCTTGACTCCTGCTCTCCTCTCTGCAGTTCTTCGAAGGGAAGGAGCTGCGCCTGAAGCAGGAGTATTTCGTGGTGGCCGCCACGCTGCAAGATATCATCCGCCGGTTCAAGTCCTCCAAGTTCGGCAGCCGCGATCCTGTCCGCACCTCTTTTGATGCCTTTCCAGACAAGGTACCCAACAAAAGCGCCGTGGCTGAGTGGCGCATCAGCCGGTCTGCGTCCCAGGAAGTTTGGGGGGTGGGAAAGCCGACCAGATGAGCTTCGGGGGTCAGTTTTTCAGAGAATCAATGGAGACCCCATTGGGGGGGGGGAGTCTTGATTCAGCCCCCTCTCGAGCTTTCGAGTCCCGTTTTTTCTCTCCTCCCCGTTCTCTGTGAGCAAGAATAATAATTCCTCTGTTTCCTTGGTTATATGTCCATCTTTTGCCTCTGGCCAGTCGTGGACAGGGGTGGGATCCCAATTTTTTAACAGCCGGTTCTGTGGGCGTGCCTTGGTGGTCATGTGACTGGGTGGATGTGGCTTGGTGGTCATGTTGGCTGGGCGTGGCCAACTCAACATCAGTCACATCGAGGCACGCATCTCCTCGCCTGGCCTCTCGTGACTGTGGGGATGCTGCAACCGTCGTAAGTGTGAAAAAGGGTCATAAGTCACTTTTTTCAGTGCCATTGTAACTTTGAATGGTCACTCCATACAAGCAAAGTACCGGCAAAGGAGGGGAAAAAAACTCCAGAGAGGTTCCTGAGACAGGAAGTCTAGTCCCGCCAAGAACGTAATAAGGGTTGACGGAGAGGCAGTTTCTGTAAGCAACCCCAGAATGCTTCCTTCCTGCCTTCCTTACAGGATTAGGCCAGTCATTTCTTCTAACAACCGGTTCTCCCAACTGCTTAGAGTGTTAACAACCGGTTCTAGCGAATAGGTGCGAACCTGTAGAATCCCACCCCTGGGCTTGGACCTGGAGGGTCCAAGATGGGTCACACCCAGCTGGATGGAGAGTTTGGGCTGCTTTGCATTCTTTTGTTAAGAGGGAGATTGGTGGTAGAAGCTTCAGGAACTATTCTAGATTTATTGGGGAATTTGGGACTCGGCCTTCTCGGCTGTAAAACGGGCTTAAGGACAGCTGAAATGACAAAGCCGCTTGGCACAAGCCGAGCCCAGAACACAGAAGGGACCTTGGAAGTCTTCTAGTCCCCATCATTCCCTCCGTTTTGTTGTGTTTTGATAACTGCAGGTCGCCATTCAACTCAACGACACGCATCCTTCGTTGGCCATCCCAGAGCTGATGAGGATTTTGGTGGATATTGAGAAGCTGGAGTGGGATAAGGTAAGAGCCTGTAACTTTGCAAACTAACAAACAAACAAACCGAAATATGGCTCTTGAGGGAAGGAAGAACATGCGAAGCCAAGGAAAAATTAAAATACATTACTTGGGAAATGAGCATCGAAGAAATGACTGAGAAATAGCCGAGATATATATAAACAGTGCAAAAAAGAAAAACGAGGAAACAACACAAACTGTCTCTTTTCTACCGCACCACAACTGGGTGATTGTTGTTTTGCACAGTGTCTTATTTTATTTTATTTTTATCCTGCCTTGATTATTTTTACAATTAACTCAAGGCAGTGAACGTATCCGACATACCTTCCTCCTCCTATTTTCTCCACAACAACCACCCTGTGAGGTGGGTCGGGCTGAGAGAGGACTGGCCCAAAGTCACCCAGCTGCCTTTCATGGCCAAGGGAAGATCTTAGAACTTACCGTCTCCTGCTTTCTAGCCTGGTGCCTTCACCATTAAGCCAAACTGGATCCCAGTTTCTTCCTTGTCTTTTAAGGACAGAAGTCTCTTCAGATAGGTTGCCCATGATAAAGAGAGTCCTCTATTGACAACCACAACGGAATTGGAAAATTTATTCTTAAGCAGTACGGTGATTAAGTGAGGCATCATGCGATCACACTTGATTTTATGACCTCTTTGCCACCGTCACTAAGCAAATCGTGGTCTTTAAGTGAGAAGTCAGGCGATCGTGGTTTCCTAATCTCCCTGCCAGCTTTTCCATTGACTTAGCTAGTTGGAAGCAAGCTGGGAAGGTTGCAAATGGGGATTCACATGACCCCAGGACCCTGCAACCATCATCAATACCTGCCAATTCCCAAGGACCTGAGTTTTAATCATGGGATCCTGCAGTAGTCATAGGTGTGAGGACAACTTGTAAGTCATTCTCAGCAATTTCAAACAGTCTAAATAAATGGTCAGAAATCAAGGACTACATGTAAGAATCAATCGTAGACTCATCATAGCTAAATGTTGGAAGGGACCTTGGAGGTCATCTAGTCCAACCCCCTGCCTAGGGCTGGTGTTTGCTATTCCGACTTTTTTTTTTTGTAACTTCAAAGATCCACTAAACAACTGTAACCGATACGTCCCTGAAACAAACTTGGCTCTCTCCCCGCATTGCAGGCCTGGGACGTCACTGTGCGCACCTGTGCATACACCAACCACACCGTGCTGCCTGAGGCACTGGAGCGCTGGCCCGTCCACCTCTTTGAGACCCTCCTGCCCCGTCACTTGGAGATCATCTACGAAATCAACCAACGTTTCCTCGACGTGAGTGCAACAGCCCCCCACTGAAAAGATCTTTGGGGCAAATGTCTCGGTTTGGGCAGTGAGATAGATCAAGGTAGACTGCTCCTGGACAGGGGAGAGGATCAAGATCAGGTGAAGTGTTAGTTCCGCTTTAGAAGGTCTTGCTAAGGCCACACTTGGAATACCACGCCCAGTTTGGGTCGCCGCAATATAAAAAAAGATGTTGAAACTCTTTTGGAAAGAGCGCAGAGAAGAGCTACAAAGATTATTAGGAGACTGGAGGCTAAAACATATGGCAATAGCCCTTAGACTTATATCCCACTTCACGGTGCTTTCCAGCCCTCTCTCAGCCGTTTACAGAGTCAGCCTCTTGCCCCCCAACTATCTGGGTCCTCATTTTACCCACCTTGGAAGGATGGAACTGGTCAGGATTGAACTCCTGGCAGTGAGCAGTGAGTTAGCCTGAAATACTACATTCTGACAACTGGGAAGGAAGGAAGGAAGGAAGGAAGGAAGGAAGGAAGGAAGGAAGGAGGGAGGGAGGAGAGGGAAGGGAAGGGAAGGAGGGAGGGAGGGCAATAGCAATAGCACTTAGACTTATATCCCACTTCACGGTGCTTTGCAGACCTCTCTAAGTGGTTTATAGAATCAGCCTCTTGTCCCAAACAATCTGGCTCCTCATTTTACCCACCTCAGAAAGACAGAAGGCTGAGTCAACCTTGAGCTGGTCGGGATTGAACTCCTGGCATTGGGCAGAGTTAGCCTGCAATACTGCAGTCTAACAGGAAGGAAGGAAGGAAGGAAGGAAGGAAGGACAATAGCCATAGCCCTTAGACTTATATACCGCTTCACAATGCTTGTAAGGCCCTCCCTAAGTGGTTTACAGAGTCAGCCTCTTACCCCCGACAATCTGGCTCCTCATTTTACCCATCTCAGAAGGACGGAAGGCTGAGTCAACCTTGAGCTGGTCAGGATTGAACTTCTGGCAGTCGGCAGTCAGCAGAAGTAGCCTGCAGTACTGTATTCTAACCACTGCCACCACGCCTCTTAAAACATACAAAGAATGGTTACAGGAATCGGGCATGTCTAGGGGGGATATGATGGCAGTCTTCCAATATCTGAGGGGCTGCCATAAAGAGGTCAACTTATTTTCCAAAGCACCAGAAAGCAAGATAAGAAAACTAACCAACCAAGGAGAGAAGCAACCTAGAATTAAGGAGACATTTCTAACAACTAATAGTTTGCCTTCCGAAGTTCCATCATCAGTTATTTTTAAGAAGAGGTTGAACAGCCATTTGTCTGAAACGTTATAGGATCTCCTGTTCCAGCAGGGGGTTGGACTAGGCGACCTTCAAGGTCCCTTCCCACTCTATTCTATGTTCTAAGGGCACAGCTGTCCAACCAAACCCACTGTCCAGCTACTCCATTCCAGCTGGTTTTCTGATCTCTTCCTTCTCCTGCATCTCTCTAAGTCCCTCAAGGAGACCTCGTGTTCTCCAGCTGTTTCCAAGCGTCAAGGCTGCATTCCCACAACAGTCTTAACTCCACTGTTGTGCAAAGCTTCCCCAGGGCTATGCGTGAATCCGCTCGTTTGCGACGAGTGTCCTAACAGCCTGTTTTTGGGGGCGTCTTCTGCAGAAAGTCTACGCCACCTTCCCGGGAGACCTCGACCGGCTGCGCCGCATGTCCCTGGTGGAAGAAGGAAGCGTCAAACGGATCAACATGGCGCATCTCTGCATCGTGGGCTCCCATGCGGTCAACGGAGTTGCCTGGATCCACTCTGAGATCCTGAAGGCCACTGTGTAGGTATCTGGAGTCTCACAGCTGGGGGGAGGGGGGGGAGGGAATTTCTCCCACAATCAGGGACAAACAAGAGGAGAGCAAACTGGATCTGTTGTGGCCTGCTGGTGGCTAGCGGAGCTGGCGGCAGAGTCGGACAGTGAGGAGGTTGGGAAGGAACCTGGGCCGGGCCTGGAGGCTGAGGAAGGCTCGGACGAGGGCTCTGCATCAGAGGCAGGGATGGGCCCAGGGCAGGCTGGCAGTCGTCAGCTGCCTTTGGGCTTGGACACCAGTGAGGCGGGGGAGCAGTTGGAGAAGGTTCCCAGCCTGCCCATGAGCAGAGCTGACAAAAGGAAAGAACATCCACGGACTAAGTGTCGACGGGGGAGTAAGGCCACAGGTGGATGGTGAATGGCCCCTCCCATAGGGATGAAAAGAGGAGCAAAAAGGGAGGGGGCTTTTGCAGGAAACAACTTGTTCCTTGCAGCAGTGTGACGATCTCTGCCGAGCCCTTCCTTGTCAGCACTGCGTTTGGAAACATTTACTTGGCAGCTCTCCAGGCTAGATAAAGCCTGTGCTCCTCATTAGACCCTTGAAAGACTGTTTGCCAGGCCTTTGACTGAAGGTGGATGCAAGAAATTCACCTTCGTTTAATAAAAGGGGTTTTGCCAGGACAAAGAGTCTCCTTAGTGCTTTTTGGGGAAGCCTAGATCGGAACAGGACCTTTGTCAAAACCAGGCACAACGGACTCTCTTGTGCAAAAGAAGGGTTGTGCAGCCCCCAAAAATACAACCAAAAGGAGGAACGAAAAGGTGGTCGGCTGTTAGCTGTCCTCTCTTGAAACTGGAACGCAGACGGTCCTTGGCTTAGGTCCAACTGAAGCCAAAATTTCCATTCTTCAACAAGACAGTTGTTGAGTTTTGTCCTTCTCAACACAGTTGTTCAGTAAATCACTGCAGTCGTTGAGCTAGTAACATGGTCATTAAGTGAATTTGGCTTCCCTGTGGGCTTTGCTTGTCAGAGGGTCCCAAAAGCAGATCCCATGGCAACCGTCATAAATACAGGCCGAGGGTCTGAATTTTGATCGCATGACTGTGCAACTGCTGTTAATATAGGTTGTCCTCAACTTACGACCACAGTTGAGCCTAAAATGTATACTGCTAAGTGAGACAGTTGTTAAAGGGAGTTTTGCCCCGATTTATGACTTTTCTTGCCACAGTTGTTAAGTGAATCACTGCAGTTGCTAAGTTAATAACACAGTTGTTAAGTGAATCTGGGTTCCCGGTTGTTTGTCAGAAGGTCACAGAAGGGGATCACATGACCCCGGGACATGGCAACCGTTATAAATTTGAGTCAGTTGCCAAGCGTTTTAATTTTGATCATGTGACCACGGGGATGCTGCAATGGTCATTCACATAAGTGTGAAAAATGGTCGTAACTATTAGATGGCTAACACTATAGCTGAGGATAAAAATTCTAATTAAGATTTTAATGAAGGTTGAGATCAGGATCCTGGCTAACTCTATAATTGAAGAAAAATATTCTAAGCAAGATTTTAGCTAGGATTACAATGAGGATCCTAGCTAACTATGGTTAAGATGAAGATTCTGATTTAAGACTTCATTTAAGGATAAGAGGAGGATCCTGGAGTACAGATGAGATCAAAGTCAAATTTGGGAAAATGTGAACTGCATTAAGATATGCATAAAACCCAAATGCACCCCTATAAAGGGTAATTCTTTGCCTTCTTCCGAAAGAAATTTTTTATTTTTTCTTCTTTTTTCGCCTTTGCTTGTCCCGTTGCCAGATGGAAAGAGTTCTTCCTGCCTCTCTTATTATTGCTACTCTTTCCCTCAGATTTAAAGATTTCTACGAATTCGAACCGCACAAGTTTCAGAACAAAACCAATGGCATCACGCCCCGTCGGTGGCTGGTTTTATGCAACCCTGGGCTGGCTGAGGTCATAGCTGAGGTGAGCCTGATAATGACACCCCATCTCTGTCGCGATCCATTCTTAGCTCATCCCCAAAATATTCTTTGCTGGCAAATTTATGGAGGTTTTTAGCCTGGAAGTGATGGAAGGTAAAGGTGGACGGATCGATATACATTGTTTTTTTTACGACCTGCCTTAATAGCCATTTGCTGCTCTGGTTTTTAATAGATTTCCTTTAAAAAAAAATTCATGAAAACAGCCACTTCCTTTCCCTTTGGCGTTTTTTCCTAATATTGATCTGTTTATTTATAGCTTGCTTTTTCTTGAAGTGGCTGAAGTCCAGGCAGCTGGATTGAGAGAAAGTGATTAGCCCAAAATTACCCAGAGTGTCCTGGGATCAAGCAGGCGTTAAACACGAATATCTTAGCTGCTAAAGTATTTATCTGCAGAAGATTTTCTATGCCCTTCCCCCAAATATCTGTTCTGGCCATTAATTTCCCATCCTATTTTTTTTCTTTCTCTAAACGGCAGGCGGTTAACAACAATAAGTTGAATTAGATTGATTTCATAGGGGTTTAAATCAAAACAAGTGATTAAGTAAACGATTTTGTTTAAATCAAAACAAATTAAATGTATAAACTCTCTTTAAGATGCTGAGATGCTAAGCCAAGTTCATTGCATTTGGAGTTAGGGTCTTGTCTGTAACAGATGATTGTATAATGTCAATCATGGTTTATAGTTCAGCCAGTCCATTGTGGTTTATTTAGTGAAGAGTGGTTATAAAAGCATGGCTTAGCAGATGGTGTGAAGCCAGGGTTTTCCTCTCTTCTGTTGACTCTTGAAATTTGCATCAAATGGTTGCTGCTTAGCGACTCCCAAATATTTTAACAGAAGGATAGTTAACAGAGTAACAGGGTTGGAAGGGACCTTGAGGTCTTCTAGCCCAACCCCCTGCTCAAGCAAGAAACCCTATACCATTCTGTACAAAATGGCTGCCCAGTCTATTTTTGAAAACCTCCAGTGATGGAGCACTCACAACTTCCAGAGGCCAGCCGTTCCACTGGTTAATCGTTCTCACTGAATCCATGCAGTGGGACTCCTGTTTCATTTTGTTTCCCAAAAGGACAGTTTTAGTCTTGCGTGGTAGGGGGGAAAAAACCACTCTGCCCATGCTTAGAGGCATTTTTAGTCGTTGGTTTTGATTTCTGACTGTCCTGGGTATTCAATAATGCCTGCAGGGAAAGGAATCGTATGTAGAAGCTGAAATATTCCTGCAGGAGCAATGAGGGGATTTTCATTTTTTTAAAATGCTTAGATAGATAGATAGATAGATATAGATAGATATAGAGATAGATAGATAGATAGATAGATAGATAGATAGATAGATAGATAGATAGATAGATAGATAGAGATAGATATAGAGATAGATAGATAGATAGATAGATAGATAGATAGATAGATAGATGATAGATAGATAGATAGATGATAGATATAGAGATAGATAGATAGATAGATAGATAGATAGATAGATAGATAGATAGATAGATGATAGATATAAATAGATATAGAAATAGATAGATAGATAGATAGATGATAGATAGATAGAGATAGAGATAGATAGATGGATGGATGGATAGATAGATAGATAGATAGATAGATAGATAGATAGATAGATAGATAGATAGACAGACAGACTTTATATTGCCACCTATTCATACATGGCGACTCAAGGCAGCTTACAGAATATAAAACCTCATGTAAAGACAATAAAACTAATAAAAGAAGAGTCATATAATTAATATAATAAAATAACCCCCTGCCCTGATGACAGCATCTCGCACGAGCCATTTAATGAACTCCATTCTACTGATTTAAAAATAAGTAAGGTTTTTTTTTTAGGTAGAATGTGGTTAAAATTGGGGCCTTTGGGGGCTGGAATACCACTGAACAGAGGCAGCCCAACTTTTGGGGCACCAGGTTCCGTGGAGAGAGGTTTTTCCGCGGAGCAGAGGGGATGCGGTTTCGTGGGCTGCCTGCATCCCAAAGATGGAGCTTTGCTTGTTTGTGCAGACGGGTTTCTGTCATGCCTTGGTCCGGGGCCGGTCCATGGACTGGAGGTCGGAGATCTCTGCCATTAAAGACCGGCCTGAAATCCCTCGGCCACAGCGCTGACTTTGCTTTTTGTAACTTCCTCACTAGCGCATTGGAGAAGACTATATCGCTGATCTGGATCAGCTGAGGAAACTTCTCAATTTTGTGGATGACGAAAGTTTTATCCGGGATGTGGCCAAAGTCAAACAGGTGAGGAGGATGGGGAGGTGATTTTGGCCAGGCTGGGCCCAAATACAGATCGTCCTCGGCTTGCAACCACAATGGAGCCCCAAAATGGAGGTTGCTAAGCGAGAGACTTTTGTTTGTTTTGTTGCATTTTATGACTTTTCTGGACACCTTTGTTAAGTGAGTCACTTAATTTAAATTAGCAACACGGTTGTTGAGTGATTTCACCATTGATTCCGCTTGTCAGAAGGTCGCAAAAGGGGATTGTGGGACCATGGGACATTGCGACCGTCATAAATATGAGTCAGTGGCCAAGTGTCTGAATTTTTATTACGTGACCACAAGGATGCTGAAATGATTAAGTGTGAAAAACAATCCTAAGTCACTTTTTCCAGTGCTTTGTAACTTCAAAGGGTCACTAAACGAACTGCTGTTAAGTCGAGGACGACCTGTATACTATTGCGGCTGTTTTCCTTGGCTGCCCCCGCCGTTTCCCCACCAAGCTGCCTGGCTTTTTCATCTTCATCCTGCTTAATCTCCCTTTCCCCCACCCCCCCCACCCCCCAAACCCGGTTTTAGGAGAACAAGTTGAAGTTTTCCGCCTACCTGGAGAAGGAATACAAGGTCAAGATCAACCCCAACTCCCTTTTCGACGTGCAGGTGAAGCGGATCCACGAGTACAAGAGGCAGCTGCTCAATTGCCTGCATGTCATCACCCTCTACAACCGTGAGTGCCGGCCTCCGGCTGCGTCTGTGGGGCAGCCAGATATGGGGGGGGGAGGAATGACGAAGCCCCCTTTCTTCGGGATTCTCCCCCGTCCTTGCTTTGGCTGGGGTGGGGTGTGGCCTTCTCCAAGTGAAATTCAGAAACTTCCTTTCTTTTCCTTCCTTCCTCCTGCCCTCCCTCGTCTTCCTTTCTCCTCTTTTCTCTCCTTCCTCCCTTTCTTCCTCCCTTTCTTCTCTTCCTCTCTCTCTATCCATCCATCCCCAAATAACCAAGTGCACCTTATCAGCTCAGCTCCTTTCAGTGTTGCAAATTATCTGAACTGTGCCAGCTCAGCTAAGGGTGGTTAATTGATTATTTCATCGTTGTCAGATCTATATCCCGCCTTGATTTTATTTTATATTCCCGTTCAAGCCCCCTCCCCTTCTTTTCCCACCACAAAACAGTGATGGAGAGCTACTGCCTCGGCTGGCTTTCATGCCTAAGGGAGAACTAGAACTCACCCTCGCCCAGTTTCTAGCCAGCGCCCTTCCTCATTGCACCAAACCGCTCCTTCTTCAGAAGTAGCAAAGTAATGAGTTCGTGGTTCCGTGTGTTGCATGAAGCCCGAGTGCGGGGGGGATGCAGGACTTCTGGCTAAGTTGGTTGTGCGAATCCTGCCTTTGAAAGGATTTCCAGGGAGAGGCCGGAAACCAAAAGAGAAGCCGTTTTTTTGTCTCTCGTCTGACACTGGACTGTTCTTCCACCTTCCCTCCCCAGGAATCAAGAGAGAACCTAACAAGCACTTTGTGCCACGGACGGTCATGATTGGAGGCAAGGTGAGCGTGGAAAGCCGAGGGCGGGGTTGGGGAAGATGGGAATTGGGATACTCGAGGCAGAGGCGTGATGACGGGATATGGAGCAAATATCCGCTTGGTCTCTTGGCATCTGTTGGCTTTCAAATCGTAGAATCACAGGGCTTGGAGGGACCTTGGAGGTCTTCTAGTCCAACCCCTTGCCCAAGCAGGAGAATCCCATACTATTCCAGATAAGTGGCTGTCCAGTCTCTTCTTAAAAACCTCCAGTGATGTCATTCTCACGTGTCATTGGGAAATTCCTCCGTAGTTCTAGCTACCAACGTGCCTACCGTCCCTGTCCTATTGTTTCTTTTATTTTTCTTCTATGTATCCATCTCATGTATTCATAACTATGTTTATACTTATACCCGTTATCTTGTAAGCGATTGACAAATCAAATAAAAATAAATAAACCTCTCTTTAACGACCTTCCAGCCATTACTTCTTGTAAAACATATTAGAACATAAAAGAAGCACATATATTTTTTGAAGAAAAGGATGAATTAAATATAGCATTTTGGATTGGCTTTGGGTCAGGCGGCCCTGATCACCTGCATGCCCTTTTACCTAGGGATGCCCTGGCATTTCCTCGCAGACTCTTCGTAGGGGTCCCTAAAGGGAGGCTAAAGCCCCTTCTTATCCCTGCAGGCGGCTCCTGGCTACCACATGGCCAAAATGATCATCAAGCTTGTTACCGCCATCGGAGACATCGTCAACCACGATCCCATCATTGGTGACCGGCTGAAGGTGATCTTCTTGGAAAACTACCGAGTCTCCCTGGCTGAAAAGGGTACGTCTCGCTTGCTGGACCTGCCTTTGGCTGGGATCTCCTGGCGTGGATTGTCAGGGGATGCTTCTTTGCACCCCACAGTGTCAAACCAGTCATCTGGTTGTTAGCTCTCATTTTGAGAGTTGCTGAGGCCACTTGGGGGCTTATCTGTGCGCTCAGGGTCACCTGAATAGTGCAAATGGGGGTGGGGAACCTACTTGGAACTGCTGAAAGGGATTTGAGTGTGTTCAGTGTATTTACAACTTTCAGCAGCTCCAAGGAGATTCCTGAGGGCACAGATAAACCTCCAAGTGGCCTCAACGACTCTCAGAAAGAGTACTAACGACCAGAGGACTGAAAGGAATGTAAATCCTTCCATCCTTCACTATTCAGTCAGAACTGAAGAAGCTTCTTGGATGAGAAGTGAAAAGTCCTTAAGGGAAAACGAAGTCCAGTTGCCTTTTGAAAAAGCACTTTTGGGACACTTTCTAGATGGTCCAACTGGACTCCCAAGAGCTGATTTACACCGGCTCTTCTTCTTTCCTTGTGCAGTGATCCCTGCAGCTGATCTTTCGGAGCAGATCTCAACAGCCGGCACCGAAGCTTCGGGAACCGGGAACATGAAATTTATGCTGAATGGGGCTCTGACCATTGGTACCATGGATGGCGCCAACGTGGAGATGGCAGAGGAAGCCGGAGAGCAAAACCTGTTCATTTTTGGCATGCGCGTGGAGGATGTGGAGGAGTTGGACAAGAAAGGGTACGTGCCAGAGGGGGGTCAGGGCAGGGGAAGGCTGAGCAGGGGGTTGGGCTAGAAGACCTCTAACGGTCCCTTCCAGCCTTAGGATTTTATGAGTCTTAACTGGCTGGGCAAGGCTAAAATGGGCACCAGGATACTTTGTTTATTTATTTAGCCTATGGCTTCTACAAACGTCATGCAATCACTGATATGCAACACTAATAAACACGTTATAAAGCAGAAAAAGATATTAAGAGGACTCATAAGACAGCATTAGGACACGGACATAGTGCATTTTGTGGAGTTTACAGCCTATATACAAGAAGTCCTTGACTTATGACCACAATTGGGACCAGACTTTCCACTGCTAAGCAAGGGTGTTGTTAAATGAGTCGCACCCAGTTTTACAATCCGTTTTGCCACTGATCTTAAGTGAATCACTGTAGCTGTTAAGCATTTGTTAGGTGTATCTGGCTTCCCCCATTGGCTGTGCTTGTTGGGAGACGCATGGCTGGCTGGGGAATTCTGGGAGTTGAAGTCCTCAGGTCTTAAATCTCCAAGGTTGGAGACCCCCTGCCATAAAACGTGCCCAGCACTTTAGAAAAAGCTGAGTGCCATTTTTTCAACGTTCACTCCCAGCTGCCTTCCGAAGGGAATCGGTCCCAAGAACACGCAGCCCTTGGTCATCATAAACTTCAAAAGCTGCTGTGAAATATACAGCCGAATCCAGGTGTGCCAGCAGAAGTGATGGATTGCAGCTTTCATCATTCCCAGCAGCCATGCCTGTGAAAGGATGATGGGAACTGCCACCAGTATAAACACTGAGAAACACTGGGGGGATCAGATTGGTTCCCCCCCGCCCCCAAAAAAGAGCTGGTAAAATGGGCCTGTTTTTAAAAAGTTTTTTTTCCTCTGATTTCATTTGTCAAGGGGCACTAAGGAGGGCAGCACGCTTGAGGCTGCCCAAGTGTGCAGGACGATTACTTTGGACTAAATCAACCCTGTTTTTCCCCACAGCTACTGCGCCAAGGATTATTATGACCACATCCCTGAACTGAAGCAAGCCATAGACCAGCTGAGCAGCGGCTTCTTCTCACCCAAGCAGCCGGATCTCTTTAAGGACATCGTTAACATGCTCATGTACCACGACCGGTGAGAGCGAGCCCGGGCAGGTTCCTTTTCCCTTATGACAGCGTTTCTCAAAACCTTTGTTTTTAACATATTTGTTATTGCTTTTGAAAGAAGAACAAAAATTGGTCAGTCATTTGGTATAGAGTCTCCTGCCTGAACAAGCGGTTGGTCTAGAAGACCTCAGGGTGCCTTTCAACTCTGTTATTCTGTTAGCAACAGATAAAAGAAGAAAAAAACCCAAAAGGAACAAAAGAAAATGATACATGTATTATTAAAAACCAAGCGCTTAAAAAAGTTAACCCAAAAATACAACAAAAAAAGTTAAAATATAGTATGAGTGTTACCACAATAAATGGTTGCCATGCTATACAGAAGTATGTAATGCATATATTATGCATATATATTATATGCTAAACGTTTATTACATATATATTCATATAATAAATATGTATGTTTTCATATTTTGTAAATAAACATTTATTTACAAAATATAAATATATTCTTGTTATATTTATATTTTGTAAATAAATGTTTATTGAATATTCATATTTATTATGTTTGCATGATAGTTATCAACTTTTTTCTGCCATTGGGCTGGGTGTCCAGCAGGGGGCAGCTTAAAGCGAAGCTTCAGAATCCCACCTTTTCAAATCATGATAATATTTTCCCCACTTTCTTAAATTTTGCTGGGAATCCAAGGCCTTCTTCCATCTTCATCCATGCAAGAGACAAAACAGCAGCCTGAAATTGTTCCTGTGCAAGTTCACTCCAAATGTTAAAAACAACAGCAACGAAATTGACAGTGAACAACGAGCTAGCTCTGTGTTTCTCACCCTTAGCAACTGGACTTCAACTCTGGCTGGGGAATTCTGGGAGTTGAAGTCTGCTTGTCTTAGCAGTGGTTAAGGTTGAGAAACACAGAGGTAGAGGCTAGACAGCCATCAGTCAGGGGTGCTTTAATCTGGATCAAGGGGTGGGATTGGATGACCTTAAAGGCCCCACTCCTGCCCCCAACATCTTAATGAGAAAACTGGGTGTCATGGTCCTGTTGGAATCCGATTCTGAGGGAGAGATGGAACAGCTGATAGGGAGTGGGAGTGTGGCTCCAGTCGCTGTGGAGGAAACTGGAGAAGGGCACAGGCCGGATGGGCATTCAGAGGAAGACTCCGGCCCACCTCCTCTTCATCCTAGGGCACACAGGGAGGAACAGAGAAGGGAGCAACATGGGTTACAGGGGAGAAAAAGGCCCTGATTCCCTTAATTAGCTGCAGCTGGGAAAACAGGATAAAGAGGGTGTTTGCGCACAGTTCCTTGCTGGAAGCAAAGCATGAACTATTTTGATTTGTCAAGTCTTATCTGGGTTCTGGCATCCTCCCAACTGTGTGTGTTTCACTATCTTTTGGAAGTTTGAATTCCTTATCCTGCCCTGTCTCGTTAATTGCTGCAGCTGGTTTGTGTTGGTTGTTTTTTTTATAATTTATATGTACTTTGGGTTCGGACAGAGTTTGTTCCCCTTAAAGACTGTTCTTGGGAGAGTTTTTTCTCCAGCCGATGATAACTGGACATTGGAGTTGGAGGAATTAAAAGGACTTTACCTATTTTTGTGATTATGTTGCTTTTGTGCCACGCCCCTTTGGGTCATCATACTGGGCTTTCCAGTAATCACCCTTTTTCTTGGTACAGGTTTAAAGTTTTTGCCGACTACGAAGCTTACATTAAATGTCAAGAAAAGGTCAGCGCCCTTTATAAGGTGAGTTTGCTCTGGAGGGGACCCTATCTTTGCCAAATTGCAGGATTAGTGCCGATTTCAGTCAAGGGATGTCAAAAAGACCCGTAAGTCATATTAACTACTATCTAGCTAAGCCTAGTAGAGAGAAGTGTAACTTTGTTAAATTTTGCATTTAGTGAATCCAGTTAATTAAAATTAAATTTTGCATCCAGTTCTCGTCACCATGACACAAAAAAGAAGCTGAGAAAATATTCTGGAAAGAGTTCAGAGAAGAGCACTAAAGATAAAGGCGGCTGGAGGCTAAAACATTTTGTTAACGGTTGCAGGAACTGGGGATGTCTAGTCTAACAAAGAGGGGAACGGATGCTAAAATGTAAGGATGAAAAATCTTCTTCCCAGGATCTTCCTCCATTTTTCAGTCTTTTATCCATCATTTTAACATTTTCTTTCAAACTGTGGGACCCCTTTCTAAAGAGACTGCAAGTGCAAATCTGTAATAAGTGCATTGGATAAAGGGCCATATTTTTTAGTAAATTGATTACATTCTCGTCCATGATGATTTTTAATGGCTTTAATAGTTTTGATTGTTTGTGATGTGACTTACGATTGTGATGAATCCTGCCCAACACAGCCATAAGTCACGATGGTACTTATATTTGCTACAATGGAAATGGAAGTTTTCCTTTCTTTTTTTTCTCTTCTTTCTCTCCTTCCTTCTCTCGTCTTCCTTCCTTCCTTCTTTCCTCTTTTCTTTCGTTCCTTTCTTTCCTTCCTGCTTTCTCTTTCTTCTCCTTCATTCTCTCAGTTGCCTTCCTTCCTTCTGTTCTTTTCTTTCCTTCCCTCTCTCTCTCTTAGTGTGTGTTGGAATTTATGCTGTTTGTAAAACGTCTCATAAAAATGTATTTTAAAATAGAGGAAAACCATTTTCCTTCCGTCTCTCAATTCTTCTGTTGCCGGCCTTCCGCAGAACACCAAGGAGTGGACGAAGATGGTGATCCGGAACATTGGGACTTCCGGAAAGTTCTCGAGCGACCGCACCATCGCCCAGTACGCCCGTGAGATCTGGGGGGTCGAGCCCACCCGCCAAAAGATCCCTGCCCCCGATGAGCCTCGGGAATGAGCACCCGCCACCCTCTGTCCTCCTGCCCTGTTACCCCCAGAAACTGGGGGGGGGCTCGGATGCAACACAGTTCTCCATCTCGGCCAAGCCCCCAACGTGTCACCGAGGGGGGGATGTGTTAGGAAGAACCCCTCACCTTCCTAGCCCCCCTCCCCTCGGTATGTTTTTTTTTTTAAATCCCCCCCCCCCCCCTTTCCTTTGTATTTCTCCTGTGCTTCCTTCCCTTCCTAGCGTGAGAAAAAGCTTCTTTTTCAGCTTTTGAAGGCGGAGGGTCTTCAAAAGAGAAAAGCCCAGCAGGGGAAGGAGAGTTGGGTGTTCAGCTCAGCAAAAAAAACAACAACAACACAATCCTTCCGGTCATTGTGAAATGAGGAAAGGGGTTTGCAAACCGGAAGATAGAAGCAAAAAGGGAAATTACAAATAAAGCTTTTAAAACATTCTTGACTGCTGGAACCTCTTTTTTTTCCCCCTGCAAGGTTTGTTTTTTAAAACAACAACAACAACAACACATTGCTTAATTTTCAAAGGTGTCTTGCTCTGAAAACAAAGGCAGCGTTGGGGAGCGATGGGGTGGGATGTCAGCTTTTTCAAAAACTAAAAAGGCCTGTTTTGAGTTGCAGCCAATTCCTTGCCCATCAAGCGGATTGCAAAGTTTGCAGCCACCTTTAGCTGTGGTTCTGTTGCACCAGAGAGATATGGGGCTGCGTGTCCCGAAACATTTGGAGGTTGCAAATCAGAGTAACAGAGCTGGAGGGGACCTTGGAGGTCTTCTAGTCCTGCCCCTTGCTCAAGCAGGAGACCTTATATCATTTCAGACAAATGGTTGTCCAGTCTCTTCTCAAAACCCTCCAGAGATTGGAGCCCCCACAACTTTTGGAGACAAGACATTCCACTGGTTAATTGTTCTCACGATCAGACTAGTTCTCCTTAGTTCTCGGTTGCTTCTCTCCTTGATTAGTTTCCTAATTAGTAGTTAATTCTTGTCCTGCCTTTAGGTACTTCAGAGAATAGGTTGGCCTCCCTCCTCTTTATAGGGGCCCCTCAAATATTGGGATACTGCTATTATGCCTCTCCTAGCCCTTCTTTTCCCTAGATTAAATCAAATCAACACTGTCCAAAGAGTGATGTAAGACGGGGTTTTTCCCCCCCCAAGGAAGTCCATTAAGGAAGGGAATGCACTCAGCACTATAGCAGTCGGCAGGGGATATTGGGAACTGTAGTCCAGCGTTTTCTGATCTGTGCTTTATAGGGAGGAAGGTCAAAGAAACACTCATTTATATAATATGACTTCAAAATGTTATAAAACCATGTTTCTTTTTTAAAAAAACCTTATATTTTTATATTGTTAATGACAGGTAGTCCTTGATTGACGACCACAATTGAACCCCACATTTCTGTTGTTAAGTGAGGCATTTGTTAAGTGAGTTTTGACCCGTTTTACGATTTTTCTTGCCTCTTGTTGTTAAGTGAATCACTGCACTTGATAAGTCAGTGACCCGGTTGTTAAGTGAATCTCAAGCATCCCAATGTAAAACACGGGGTGCTGCTCCTGTTGTTACAGTCATCAGTCACTTTTTTCAGTGCCGTTGTAGCTTTAAACGGTCGCTATATGAACAGTTATAAGTTGAGGACCACCTATATTTCACAGAGATTTTACTTTTGTTCAGTGAGGGTGATGTCGCCACAATCGACAACAGCAGCAAAAAAATCTTTAGGGACATGGTAAAAATGGCTTTTACTTCCCTACGGGGCATCATTTGCCCATCAGCCTGTGTTTCCTGTTGCTTTTTAAATTGGTCTTTCAATTAGAGTGAAAATGCTTCTCTAACTTTCCTTTGGAAATAACGGTGAGCTCAAAGAGGCCTCGGTGCTAAAACGGCACGGAGGAGATGAGAAGCTAAGAAGGAAAGAATCCATCAGGTTTCTTCATTGACACCCTTCAATGCATGGCTCAAAATTTTTCCACCTGTAATTGATCCCAAAAAGCAGTTTTACGTCTTTCTGCCCTTGGCCTAGGTGGCATTTTGTTAATATTTTCATGACACATATATACGCCATATAAACTAGGCTAAAATATTTATGAATATTGTGTAAAGAGCATTTAAGTGCTCATTAAAAGATTAATTAAAAATAAATGAACTCGCGCTAAAAAGGGAGCCAAGCTGAGGCTTCGACTTTTCCCATTCTGGGGGAATTTCCATTTTATGCAATGTAAACAGGTGGGGGGGAAATGGAAGGATTGGGGTAGGCAGAAGCTGCTGTCATCTGGGAGAAAAAATACCGCACAAGGAATTTGAGCACACCGTTGGTGGAAATGTAGTCCTACCGTTAGCTTCGTGCCTGAGATAAAAGTAAAAAAAAAAATCAGTAATATGCCTTCTGATAAACAAAGCCAGATTCATTTACCCACTGGGCTGCTAACTTATCCACTGCAGTGATTCACTTAAGAAATGTGGCAAGAGAGGTCATAAAAGGGCCAAAGCTCACTTTACAAATGTTTCGCTTAACAACAGAAATGTTGAGCTCAATTGTGGTCGTAAGTCGAGGACGACCCGTATAACATCTGGCTATGTATGTTTGGTTGATTCCCAGGAAGGATAAAACTGGTTGTTTGGTGCCCCCTGGTGGCCAATGCAAGCCCTCTCTAAGTGGTTTACAGAGCCAGCCTCTTGCCCCCAAGAATCTGGGTCCTCAGATGACCTCCAGGGTCCCTTCCAGTTCTTTTAACCTGTTCCCTTCTGTTCAGCTGTGCAGAGCTGGAGGACAATCTACTCAAAGGCCTGGTCTACAGTGGTGTGGGGTCTCCAAGGAGGGGATAACGAGGCCCTCCAGGAGTTTTGGAGGAGACGGTGGGAGGGACATCTCAATGTGCAATCTTTCATTTAATGATCCGTTACTAGGGCACTGGAAAATGACTCATGACCATTTTTCACACAACCATTGCAGCATCCCCATGGTCACGTGGTCAAAGTTTGGACGCTTGGCAACTGGCAGGTATTTATGACGGTTGCAATATCCTGGGGTCACGATTCCCCTTTTGCAACCATCTTACCAGCAAAGTCAATTGGGAAGCCAGATTCATTTAAATAAATTGAATTCTTTATTGTCATTGTACGAATATACACAGTATACACATATAACAAAATTCACATAACACCCAAAGACCAGACCTAACACACACGTACACACGACAATCCCCAACACCCACCTCCCCACCCGCCAAAATTTCCTGACCCCTAAAAACACACAAGCATCCACACAACAGACCAAGTAAGATGATGGTGGTCCTTAAGTTCATTGTTAAGTGCAATTATAGCTCTGGGATAAAAACTGTTCAGAAAACGTCTGGTCCGAGTTTTAATTGTTCTGAATCTTCTGCCAGAAGGCCACAGTTCACAAAGATTGTGAGCAGGATGGGAAGAGTCTCTGAGAATGTTGTGCAATTTCCTTAAACAGTAATATGCAAAGATGTTGTCCAGGGCTGGTAGCTGGAGCCCAGTGATATTCTGGGCTGTTTTAATGATTCTCTGTAGAGCTTGTTACTAAATAATCGTGGCGATTCACTTAACAACTGTGGCAAGGGAGGTTGTAAAATGGGGCAAAGCTCACTAAACAACCCTCAAAAAAAAATGGGCTCAATTATGGTCATAAGTCGAGAACTACCTGCAACCAATTCCCAAAGAGGAACGCAAAATAAAATCTCCAGCAAAAACTGGGTGCTTTTTTTTTTAAACACCCTCCAGCAAAATTTCTCGCTCTTGAGCTGCGTCCACGAGAGAGCCCCTTCTCGGAAAGTCGGTTTGCTCTTTTAATTAGGAACTGGAGATTGCATTCCAGCTGCGAGAGTTTTATTAAAAACTCAGCAGGTTTTTCAAGTGGAACGGAGCCCGCCAGCCTCGGGAAGCCAGGCGAAGTCAATCGAGCAAATTCCCAAGTTAGCCCTGGATGGGGTGGCGGTGTCCATGAATAACTGAACGGTGGGGTTTTATTAGCCTGCTGTCTGTCGCGGGAGAGCAGGGGCTTTATGATGGGTGAAATATATGGTGCTTACGCAGGGGTGCATGAAGTCTTGGTCAGGATTTTTTTGACAAGATTCACACAAGTCAGAAGTGAACAGATGAGTTTGCTGAAAAGAAAGTTGGGAAGGAAAAACCTCCCAATGCAAAACAAAAAACAGAAACTTGCTTGATGCCTTAATGTTAATGGAGTATTATATTCTAATGTTTCTATTATAAATATAACACTAATGCTAATATAAATACTAATACCAACATACTTGTAATATTTTTAGATTTTATCTTGCTTTTAATTAGATCTAAGCCAGCTAGAGTCACCTCTAGGTGAGATGGGAGGCTTATAAATTTAATAAATAAATATTTTACTATTCTGCTGAAGTGCATTGAATAGTCATTTATAATACGTAGCTTAATTAGCAGGATATTATACTCGAATGTGCCATGGAACCATGTCTTTGAGTTCAAAATAACTTTTGCAAAACAAAAACAATATATTTATATAGCTACACCTATAACCTTCCTTCCTTCCTTTCCTTCCTTCCATCCATATCTACCTACCTACCTACCTACCTAATCTATTATCTATATCATCTCTATTATCTATCATTTATGTATCATCTTTGTATCTATCATCTCTATCATACGTATCTATTCTCTATTATCTATGCATCCATCTTCTATATAACTGTCTGTCTATCATCTAAGAATAATAATAATTAGTGAAATAATGAATAAAATATGGTTCTTAATTATTAATGAAAATATTTCTTTTAAAAAATATCACCTACTCTTGACTCAGGTAACGGATCAGAAGAGACTTATTTCATAGACCTCGTATGATTGCTAAGTGTCTTCTAATTTGGAAATCTGCAGCTCTCAACAGCAGGGTTTTTTCTGCAAAAAAAAGCAAAGGAAAATAATTCATCCTGGAACCATTTTTTCTCTCTCTAAAACTGCACTCCTAAATATCAAGAAGATAACAGATAACAGATAATCAGAGTTGGAAGGGACCTTGTAGGTCATCTAGTCCAACCCCCTGCCCAGGTGGAAGACCCTACACCATTTCTGACAAATGGCAGTCCAGTCTCTTCTTGGAAGCCTCCAGGGATGAAGCTCCCACAGCTTCGGAGGGCAACTTCTGTTCCATGGGTTGATTGTTCTCCCTGTCAGAAAGTTTCTCTTTATTTCCAGGTTGAATTTCTCCTTCTTCAGTTTCCATCCATTATTCCTTGTCTGGCCTTCGGCGGCTTTAGAAATCTCTTCCAAGATGGAAGAGTTTGCAAAGTAGGAAATAAATACCAAATATACAGCATATCTAATTGCTTGCCCTGTTTTGTTTGCTACCATTTTCTGTTGCTGAGAAAGGCTAGATAAATAAACTTCAGTTTTAAAGCACCTTTTTGAGGTCTTAAGTGTCCTGGCC